TTAGGACTTGATTGCTTAGGGTATTATTAGTGGTGCGGCCACAGATTTGCAGACGTTCCTGCAAAGTTTTGACAGTTCGAAGGCATGCTAGCCAGAGCCTCATCACTTTGCTGGGCCCTCATTGGCAGAAGAAGCCTGTCGAAATACCTGTAAGCCTGAAATTAAGTGTCGCCCACGTGAAAGCCGGAAGATCTTGTCAATGTTTGAGAGTGCCACAAGTGGTCGTGCTTCCGGGAGAAAAACGCTGCACTGTTCATCTCGTAAAGCGGCGATTCGCCACGATAGCACATGACAAGATTATTTTTTTCAGGAGCAAGAACAAAGCATAATTGTAGGGAGTGTTTTAAAGGGCCAGCAAAGGCAATTCGTGCTTTGGTCGACAGGGGTCGCCTGAACATTCCAGAGTGAGCACGATTACTGCGGAGATGCATTGCAGTACAAGCGCGCGAACCTGACAAACCGTTATGAAATGAACTAGCATTTTAGAGCATCCAGTTATGTTGCGTCGCGTCAGTGGGACTGTGCTTGATGGTTCCCGGTTCAGTGGCACATTAAGGGCCACGTTGCCATATCCTGGGAGGCTACGTTCGAAAGTAGCACAGTCCTGGAGGACAGCTATGCAACGGCTCCTGCAAATGGCTTCCAAAGTGTGAGACAGGCCTTCATTCTTGAGCGGAATTAGTTACTGTGGGCAAGCGGGTGGCCTTTCGGAGCGGCAATTTGTTTTGTGGCACTTGAAAAGAAGAGACAGTGTTTATCATTCTTCTCCAGAAAGATACGAGAATTCTTGTAGTGTCTAATAGGCGATGCAGCACGGTGCACCGACGTGGCGGGCATTGCGAGTCTTCCGGGGTGGGTGGTGTGAATGCACGTGTCGATGCATAGCTCTCAGTGCCGTCAAAAGAAATACAGAGTTATTCGTATGGAACCAAAAAATAGAAATACTCAGCTGTGTAGAACATCGCGCCACGACCACAATGAGCATTCCAGGCACAGCTTTACTAGTGAGGCCTTCAGAGTAGATAACATACTTTGTTTAAGATCGTGCATATCTTGCTAATTCGATTAATTCGATTCACTCCGAAGGTGTCTGCTTCTCATGTCACCGAGATCCACTACATGAATTTGCGTCAGGTATCGTGACCGCCGGGCGAGTCGCAGCTTCGAAGCGCGTCAACGAGTCCATTCTATCGCTGAGCCTTCCCCCCAAATCGCTGGTGCAAATTTTACCTTTTTATTGATGTCTTGGACTGCGAGGCAAACGTTGGTGATAAATGCTTGGATGAACGCTCCAGAACAAGGTTCTCGGCTGGAGACTGCAGTGTGTGTAGTAGCTTATGAGACTGCTTTCATGCACTTTCGCTAAAAGTCTCGGCTTCCCCAACTGAAACAACTTGAAAAACAGAAGTGCTTTTTCTAAGGATCAATAAGGAGGAGCTTTGTATTTACTATATTGTCTTGTTCATCTGGGACAGTGCTATGCGATTCACCGATTGCTCTATTCGGGGAGAAGCGCGTACTGCCAACCAGTCAATTAGCGGCATTGCAAAACTGCATTTTCCTTGTGGCAGTGGCCGCAGCTTATGAATCATCGCATATTATAAACTGACGAAAATTTCAAGCGCAGGACACCAGCGTTTCGTCAAAAGCATTGTTGTTGACGGGGAGCGCTCCGACGAAGTTCCACATGGGGAAATGGCTCGGAGGAACCCCGGTGAAAGATCGTGAATGCAAACGTAGATCTCCAGCTATTCCTGCAAACTCGGCGTATGGAAAAATATGTAACCAAAGGGGAAAGCCACTGGTATACTGACCCGAA